ACTCCGACGTCTCCGACGTCACCTCAGCGACCAACCCGTAACGGGGTTCCCTCAAAGACATCCCGGAAGCCCACGGAATCAACATCACTCGTGAAAACGAGGTAGAACTATGAAACTCAGAACTCCGTTAACAGAATTTCCTTCCTCTGAACTGTATGTTTGTGTGTTTTAGCTTAAGTTTATGTAATCTAGAATAGCCAATAAATTTCATGTTTCATTTATAAATAATCAATTGTCTGGTGTCATAATTTCAAGGTTAAAACTTTGCCAAGATCAACGTTACCTCTCTCTTTTAAGAGCTGACAAATTATCATAAGTGTGTTAACCGTGGCCAGGAAAACACATATTTAATTTGTTAAAATATACTGAGAATCACCGGCTCGCTGGACGACCCTTGATTTAAAGTGTAAACCATTTAAAGTCAAAATCAGTTTTGATCAGGTGAACCTCGAATTCTCAGATCGAGTTCTTTTAAAACCTGAGCTAGAAATAAACCTGAATGAATTAATAATAATTAATTCCCTTACAACTGAGTTAAAATTCCTTACAAGTGCAACAGGAAACACCATCCTGGGACAGAAAACATTTAAAGAAGATTTTTCTACTGAATCTGTGACCGTGAAATGCCAGCAGCATCAGCAGACAGTAGAAGGTCGAATCGTCTCAGTGATAGACACTCCAGGACTGTTTGATACGTCAATCAGCGAAGGACAACTGAAGAATGAATTAGTGAAGTGTGTAGAAATGTCTGTTCCTGGTCCTCATGCGTTTCTGCTGGTCATCTAGATGTTTCTTTTTAATAAATGAAAAATGTAAACAGAAAACATTTGGCTGAATTCATGACTGACAACCACATTCAGACCATTTGCACTGGGAGCATTATCAGCTCTGACAACATGATGAGAAGTGTGGATTTACAACCTAACAGACCTCAGAGGATTTACAAAAAACTAGTATAAATGGTACCAACAAGAAAATAAAAAGAGTATATAAAAGAGAGAGAAATTTTTTTATATTTTGTTACAGTATGTGCAGTATGTGTACTGTTTTGTTAGAGTATGTGTTCATACATCAGTTCTCACAAAGTTAACTGACCTGAAAAGCTACAAATAAGCATCCATTATTAAATCTATTCACATTATTGATGTTTTGGTGTATTGTATTGGTGTTGACTGCTCATCTATTTGAACTAGGTCAGCTAGACTATTTTTAAACTTACATGCAAAAGGGTTAAATAAGAGAAAATACATCTTATCTTTGAAGTTTTATGCTATATTATTTCAAAACACAAGCAACTTTGAATTACAATGATTTTGTTTCTTTAAAAGTGTTTATATATTTCTTTTTTTTCACATTTGTATATGTATTTTTACCTGTTTTTGGGAGATACATAATTATTCCACCTTTGGTCTGATACATGACCTTTGAAACGGATTAATCTGACAAAGCACTGACAGACAATTAGACCAAAGGACCGAGCAAACATTGGTAGGCCACAGACAAAAAAAACATACAGTTCTGTATGTTCTTCACTTTCAGGTGTCAGAATGCAGCCACTGGGCTGTCAGACATTGTTTGGATTATGTTTGGAGTCAATGTAGACACACTTCTTGTGTTAGTTTCACACAGACAAAGATGGATGGACTGTGAACGACAAAGAGAAACTGCAACATAATGGCATCAGCATATAAAGGTCAGTCTAATGTAATAGTCACAGATTACAGCTAGTTTAATATCATACAGAGAAATGAATTATGTACTGTGCTTCTGCTTCTGGTAGTTGACTGCACTAAGCAGAAATCAGAAAGTAAATCTAAGAAGTCTAAGTAAACATAGGTAGGTCACGGACAAAAACAAAACATACAGTAGTTCTGCAAGTTTTACTTTCAGGTGTCACAACAGGTGACGCTGGCATTTGTTTTAGAGGATGAGGAAGTGTAGACACATTTCTTGTTCCAGGTTCACAGAGACAAATACGGAGAGACTTTGAATGACAAAAACAAACGACAAGAGACATAATGGCATCAGCATATAAAGGTCAGTCTAAATTAAGTAACCTAATGTGATACTCACAGAATACAGTTAGATACCATACTGATAAAATTAATTTTATACTGTGCTTTCTGCTTCTGGTAGTTGACAGCATTAAGCAAATCAGAATGTAAATAATGAAGATAATCTTCAGTAGTATTGAGTGGCCATGTTACAACCTTCAATTCTACATTGAGTACATTTAGAATGTGAATGTCTCTTACCTTTTATAAAATATAGTATACAAGTCCAGAGTATCATGTTTAACATACAGTACGATGTTGTCAAAATAATAGTGAGGTTATGTCATCTGTATTCTGTGTCAAGTTGAACAGCCATGCTTAAACAAAAGGAATGTGACACAGCTGGTCAAATGGTATTTTACCGTCATGCACAATATCTGTATTCACACGCCAGTTCTCACAATGTTAACTAACCTGAAAAGCTAAAAATAACAATCCATTATATAATCTATTTAGAAGTGACACTATTGATGTATTATATTGGTGTTGGTAACGCTTTAGATTACAGTTTATTACAGATTATAATTTAGTAATTATAGTAAAGTTAAAAACCACCATAGTCTTTATAAAATCTTACCACAGTTTACTTAAGAATATATTTACTATATAGCATTTACTAGTGTTTCTTTATGTGGGATCATGGAGATTATAAAGTATGGGGAAATTATGTAACGAGTTTCTGCTATGATTTGGTTTAGACATTTCCATATGAAAATTTATCTGATGAAAGAGCATTGCATATGGTCATCTCAGCAGCGAGTCCGTCAGCAGCATTGTACCGTCGAGGTGCAATACAGTGGAAAACTAGATTACCTGTTTCCAGCTGCTCCCAGGATATAACATATACATATAACATCATAATACACAACACGTGTATATCTACTGCATAATTGATGTTTTTTTTATAGCTGTAGAGCTGCACTTGAGCTTCCACATGTGGTTAGAGGCAAGTAGAATAAAATGTACTACAGCATTTTTCTTAACTACTATGCAAACATACACCCTTGTTATATGTAGTTATTGTGTAAATGTAACATCCACAGGCTGTAATTTAAAGTGATCCCTTGTTTCCCTCTTGTTACGTGTAGTTACTGTGTAAGTGTAACATCCGCGGGCTGTAATTTAATGTGATCCCTTGTTACCCTCTTGTTACGTGTAGTTTCTGTGTAAGTGTTACATTAAACAATTTTAGTTATGCTACAATAGATATGTTTCAAAGTTATTAACAATTAACTGTAAGTGCAAGGTCCAAAGACCTTAAGTTAACAAATAAATATTTGTATTATTTAACAATTTTAACAGATCTTTTCCAAGAACAGAATGCACAAAAAACAAACAAATTTGCAACCACTTATACAAAATAAAAAGAACAGTAAAACACACACACACACACACACACACACACACACACACACAAAACAAATCATGTTCTAAATTTATTTTTAATAGGCATACTGTCAAATTTTCCTTTCAGCAGTTGGCAGGAGTCAACAAATTTCTGGAGATCTTTTGCATATGCAAAGTTGTCCCTGCAGTATATGAGGGAGCAGAAAAGTCCTCCCCCTCTGATGCAGTTTTCACCTGTGATCACAATTAGAGAAAAATACATTGCAAAAAACTGTTAATACATGTCAAGTTTGCATAATGTAAAAAAGTGTTGCACAAAGCTTATATTTAACCAAATATAAAAAATAAGGACTTCTGTGAGGACTCTGTGTCACAGCAATGTTTCAAGGCAAATCTGTAGGAGTTGCCAACACTGAGATATGGTAAACAAGCAATAAATAATAAAATAACAAAAGGACTACAAAACTTACACGGGTAACTGGAAAATAACAAACAAGAACTTAATAGTAAAACAAAATAGAGAATATGCAACTATAGTTAAACCATGGGTACCACAAAACAGCCATGATTGTGCCCTGTTCATATTTTGCATTTTTACAGAATTGGCATACCTGAATTTAAAAGAGTGCCCTACCCACAAACATTAGAGTATAAAAATAGTCTCTATGTTCATGTCTTTCTTTCTTCAGTCTATGTATACTAATTATACAATTATATTATATACTATAATTTTTATGACTAAATTATAGCCTAATACAGTATACTATAGTTTACTATTTGTATCAGTCATGTAATATATATATATATATATATATATATTGTAATAATACAATAAGTACCCAGTACATAGTGTAAAAATATACTGCATCATATGTTGTGTTATTACAATAAGGCACCTTCTAAATCATAATATGGTTGCCTAACACGGTGGCAAAAGATGCATACCACATAATCGTAGAATAGTTACACTTTACTTGTGAAATACTAACAGTATAAATACTTTTAATTTTCCAAGTCATTACCTCCTTATCCCCCAAACATTGCACATTGTTTCCGTTTACCTACACGTATGTACATCTGTAAGTTATGCTTACGCTGAAAATTTCGATCTGTGTGTCATACATACCACATAATTTCAGAATAGGTGCCCTTTAGTTATAAAATACTTACAGTATAAATGCTTTATAATTTTGCAGGTTATTTCCCCCTTATTCCCCAAACGTTGCATATTGTTCCCTTATACCTACGAGTAGGCACTGTGGAGGTACTCTAGTTACAAATAGGTACGCTGTAAATTCT